AGAAACACTGCATGGGGGTGGAGGCACTATATTAAAGGGACAGTTCAGGATTTTTTTCATAAAAAAACATAATCATAGTGCTTAATGAAAAGAATATAAAAAGAAATGAATTACTTAGCCAATCATGAAAGGTTAAAGGGCATGAGAGCAAATCAGTTATGAACCTGATCAGGACTGTTGTGAAGTTGGACTGCAGGATTTTCACACTTCAATATTTGTGGATTTTTCATGGAAGATCTATTTGCAGATTTTTAACATAATTTAAAGAAAAATGAGACGCTATTGGTTGGCGTCATTCAGGATCCATTTTCCTTGGTGCCGATTGGCTGAACCCTGACGGGCAGAAACACTGTAGATGGTAACTTCTGCAGCAGTGCTAAGATAGTTTCCACTGTGTGTAATAATGAATATTAATGCATATTTGGTGTTTGAACCAAATTCTATTGTATCTGTTTTTAGCGGGCGTCTCCAGTATTTTCAGATTTGAACTATTCGTGGTCGGTAACAGAACCGTTACTGGGCCCGCTGTACCACACTTTCCTCTGTAAAGTTTATTTTTCAAAACAAAACAAATTATACCAAAAGCAAAAATGACACTTTACAGGTTTATAAAACTGTATTTGTATAAAAGTTTGTCTTGATCCAACTCCTGGACCCTCACCAACACAACTGGAGGGAGATAACAGACTGCGGCTTGTTATGCAACGTTTTATTGTTAAATCTGATTCATAATAAAGTCGCACATGGATCATCTGATCTGAAAATCTCCACCTTGTTTCTGTTGACCAGGTTTAAGCTTTCTGACTTGGTTTCCTACTTTATAACTAAACTAGAATAGAAAGATGAGGCTGAGCGTTTGTTAGCGTAGCACATTTCAGCAACAGGCATTTCAAAATGTTTACGGGATAAAAATAGAAAATATGAAAACATAAAGCAACAAACAAATGTTACATTTTAAAACCATCATCAGGAATCATCATTGAATGTTGGAATAAAGAGTGTAATGAATCAATGTTATTATTAACTAAAGGTAAATCTAAAGGTCTGGTAATCTGGGGTCTGGTCATAAAACCAGATTATTAATCTCAGTGAGTAGAACATAATGTGTCCTAATGAGTCTCATTTGTCAGATCAAAAGCACCGTTTGAAAATATGAAAAAGTAGATGTTAAATATACTTTCCATTAAGCTCACATTTCTGTTTTTAAAGTGTTTTATTCATCTGATGTAATATTCTGGTATGTCATATTTTTATTAAGTGTAAAATCATCATAACTAACAGAAATAACGGCTAACAAACTTTCCTCTGAGTATTTCATCTATATAATGTGTTTCACTTAAACTTCCTGAAATTAATGAACTTTTCAATAATGTTCTAATTTACTGACCGGGTCTGGAGTTCCTTTAATAAACTGACCAATCAGAATCTGAACAGTGAAGTGGTTGAAAACAACAGAAGAGTGAGACCTCTGTGTTTTTCCTATCTTTGGAGGCTCTGTGCTTCCTGCAGCTGCACCTGCAGCAGATTCCTGTTTCCTCACAAAGACACATTTGATCCTGCAGATCGTCCCGCTGCTACCTGCCGCTTCAGCGAGCAGCAAAAACACGCAGCGCGGATTTAATGACACTTAAAGACAAGATCAATAAAACCAAACGCATTTTTATGTTTCCTCCTCAATTCTATCCACCAGTCAGTTAAAATGCATCACTATTCTGTACTTTGACTTATTCTGTTTAGTTTAATATATACACTGAAAACAAGAGAACTTAAAAAATAATTTGTTACATGTAATCGAATTAAATTTGTCAAAATTAATTTACGATTGTTTATCATGAAAACTTAATAAACTTAATTTGATTACTTTCAATAAATTGACATTTTTTTATCACACGTTTTCTTTATTCAGTGTTTATTGCTGATTAACTGACTGTAAGTTTTTGAAGTTATATTTAAAAAGTTATATTTTGAATACAAATTCAAAAATTTGACTTCAAAAAGTCAATACAACTTTTTATAACTTATATAAATATAAGTTAATTAAACTTGAGATTAAAGAAACTTTAATGTCAAAAAAATCTCAGTGATTAACATTAAAAATCATAAAGAAAACATTTTTACAGGTTAATATTAATTTGCATAAACTGAACTATTTCTGCAGCCTGAAGAAAAGTGAAAAAGTCAGATGGAGGAGGAGCCGTTCAGAAACAAGCTGCTCTGATGCAGAACTGCAGCATGTCTGAGTTCTGCTGCAGCAAAATACTGATTTATTGACTTTACCTTCAGATTGTGAAGGACAACAAAACTCCACAAAAATGCCAAAATGTACTTAAACACTAACAGAGACAACAAACAAAACAACACAATGAGCTTTAATCAGTCAAGAAGGAGAATATAAAAGTTTATCAAATTACCTGTCACCTATTTATTAAAGAAAGTTGATATTTTTATTGATTTATGTGACGATAATGTTCTAATTTAGTACAGAAACATGTAAATCTATCACATTTTTTAGTAAGATGTCATGATGATGATTGAATAAACTCACTTTTAAACAAAGGATGAACGTGAGCAGCTGCAGCTCTGCACCTCGCTGCTCCTCTCAACTATCTTTAGATGTTTTCTTTTCATAACCCTTCTCCTCCTCCTCACTCTCTGCTCAGCTCCGACTTCCACCCACTCACTCTGCAGAGCCCAAGTTAAAAAATAAGATAAAACTAAACATTCAGCCTTTAACAAGATTCACTTTTCAGATACGGACAAATTTCCTTCCAAACAGGGAAAGTAAACCTCCTGGAATCAAATGTGCTTTCTGGGAACGACGCCTCAGAACCAGGAAGTAACCATGGCGACGACAAGCCGGACCAAAGCTAACAGCTTTAGCTGTTTCACTGCTAACGACCGTTTTGGGAAGGTCACAAAACCAGTTAGAGTCTTTTCTATGAATTCATTAAACACAATAGTTAGATATTCACTAAAAATAAAAATATATCATGCTTGTGGTTGATGTTTGTTTCATAAGCTGCTGACCTGCAAAGGTCACAGAATCACTTTCACTCTGCTGCAGATTGAACTAACAAAATGAAGGCGGATCTGGGAATGATGGCGCTGATTTTATGACCACTGTGGTTTGACTGGATGCTCACAGTAACCAAAACAATTTTTATAGACGTCTCAAAACAATTAGGCTCCCAGTTTAAAGCTATTTCAGATTGTAACTCCTTCCCTAAAGTTAAATCCGCCTGCAGGCTCTTCACACGCAGAGGCTTGACGTGAAAACACGAGGGTTACGTGACTTTCTGCCTCTTGCAGTTTGCAGCAATTGGCTCGTATTTCTAGCCGCTCAGAGAAGCTGGAGTTTTGTTTTAATGTCATTGTTAGTTTCTGCAGTGAGAAACTCAGCTGCTCTCTGTCCACCCCCTCACATATTCATATCAGCAGAATTTAAGAAAGTATAATTAGTTGGAGCGATTAGTGGGAGGATGGGATGTGATGCCGTGATTTTATACAGTAAGAGCAGAGGAGTGTTTATGTATTATAATATGTGGGCTGTCTGCAGGGAGCCAGCAGAAAAGGAGATTCTCCCTTCAGCAAATATACATATGGACGCGTTTATGTTTATCCTTGATATCGCTGAAGTGATTAACACAAGAAAATTTTTTTAAAAACTTATCCACTGGAGGATAAATGTGAAGCAAAACTTTTAAAAACTTGAGAGTCTGTGGTTGTCGGACTCGCCCTCCATGTTCTGCAGAGAGCCTGCGCTGACTGCGGAGGCCCCGTCGGCTCCAGATCGGCCATGTTGGTCCGTTTCTGCACCTCTGATCCCAGACCTGCGTGTGGGCTGCAGGGCTGCAGGGAGCAGCTGTGTGGGAAAACAGCAGCGAGGCTCAAACTCCACATCCAACGCAAAACATGCAGCGGACCGGAGGAATGCTGACGGCTTCCCTGCAGAACCTGCTGGAAGGCGGAGCGGCGGGCCAGGACATTTCTGACCCATTTGATGTCTAACCCGTCACTATTTGTAAAAAACATTATCAGAATCTCTTAGTGGTTTAAAATGGTTTTACACATAAACTGTGAAAAGTGTGGTGTGCATTTACAGTCACCTTCTTTGACTGTGATACTACATTATGACAGATGTAGACGGAGAACAAAGAAGAAGAGAAACGTTCTGCCAAAAAAACTGAAATTTTCTAGAAAAACTTGGAAACTTCTAAGTTTGAAAAGTCGAAGACTTGAGACTCTGAAATGTCAAAGTTTTTTCTAGACAATTTCTGAGATTTTTTGATGGAAATTTACTTTTTTTATATCTACAACAGTAGTCTTCATTATCCATCCATCCATCCATCCATCCATCCATCCATCCATCCATCCATCCATCCATCCATCCATCCATCCATCCATCCATCCATCCATCCATCCATAAAACTCTCATCTCATCCAGCAGCCATTGTACAGCGCATACAACAGTAAAACCAGCTGACCAAATGTGCTGGAACTCCGTTTGGGTTGCTAGGTAACAGGATTGTGACTTAACAATCCGGAAGTTTTTGCTCAGTTTCCAGACAACAGAAAACTTATTGCCAAAAACCAACTGTGTGTTTTTTTAGTGCTTGTTTTTAAAAGCAGATGAAAACCCAAATGGAAAGCACATAGAAAATGTGAATTTTGCATAATAGGTCCCCTTTAAAAAAAATAAAAAGATCAGCTCTGTGTTTGCAGAGCGCTGCTGGTGCAGGTTGTTAAACTGTGCTGCCATCTGGTGGAGAACACAGGGAACAGCAGGAGCGCTCATCTTTCCAGTGAATGAATCTGGTTTAGAGCCGCTAATATGTATCAATATGATCCAACCTGTGGAACAAAGACAACTGATCATCTTTGATAAACATCTACAGTAGGACATTTGCTGTCATTTTTAAATAGAATCCCAGTTTTATGGTTCATCTGAGTGTAACATAAAAGCATACAAATTAATCAGATTAGACATCAGATTACAGTGTTTTTATGATTTTTTATTTCCATAATTGATTGAAATACATGCCTGTTTAAAGAAATAAACTGCTAAGTTTCAAACTAAAGATCTAGTTAACGAACTCACTAACTATTTAGCTTCAAACCAGATGTTTAGTTAGCCAGCTGCTAACTAGTTTGGAGCTAAAAATTATGATGCAAACTAACATTTAGCTAGTTAAGAAGATATTTAGTTTATGACTAAATATTCAGTTCAGAGCTACATTTGTATCCTGAAATTGTGACATTTATAGATGGATGAATAACATGGTGAAAATATGACTTTTGAACATGAATCTCCATTAGTTTTTCTCATGACAGAATAAATAACTGAAGTTAAGTTTTGACAAACAGAAAACCACAGAGTGTCGTCCTGTTGGAGAATCAGAGTCACTACCTCCCGTCCAGTGGTTCCGGTTTTATTCAAACATATTTTATTCAAGCTTTCTGCATAAAATCAGAAAAGAGCAAAACAGCAAACAAAAGCCTTGATGAGAGGGGAATCCATTTCAGATGAAGGTCAAAGGTCATCCTCATCCCTCCTTGTGGAAGGTCGTTCCATCTGGTTGCTCCTTCCAGCTCAGGCTGACGCCTCCTTCCACGCCGTCGTCCTTCAGCTTCTGCCCAAACTGACACACAAAGAACTGAGAGTCCTGGTCCGGTGTGTGTGTGTGTGTGTGTGTGTGTGTGTGTGTGTGTGTGTTGAAACTTTTACAGGAATCCTGGAGGAGGATGAGGGTGTTGTACCTTCATCAGCAGGTCTTCCAGCAGAGCGGCGTCGTTCAGGTCCAGAGAGGAAGGCGTCGCCACCTTCAGCTTCACCACTTGCTGTGAAACTGGAACCAGAACGTTTTGCTCTGATGAAGAACAGAGAATAACTGAGTTATGATATTTCTGGCCCCCACCTGCCAGTCGTCCACATTCTGGCTTCAACATGATTCACAGATTCGAGTTTTTGGAAAATCACTGCAGCCGAAATTAAAAATGTCTTAGTTTTTATTCATATTATTTATTTTTTGGCATTTTCTGCCATTTGTATAAATGTCTTAATTAATTTTTTTTGGTTTTGTTTTATAATTTGTAATTGTTGTAAAGGTGTAAATGTGCTACATAAATAAACTTTGACATTGTCTTGTGTTTTATTAACTTTATGCTCGTTATTTAAAAATAGTTCAACCTCTCTGTCTGTGCACACAAATGAATCTCCACGTTTAAATCCTAACAGGAAGTTTCGAAGGCTTGTGACCGGTCAGGTTTTCGCTTTGCCCAACACTGCCCCCTACGGGTTTGGCATGTTTAAAGCAACGATCAGCGGTGAAATTCAGTGGCTTCGTGGATGAAATTTTTTATTAAATCAGTCAGGCATGGATGATATTATTTTATAGATATCAAGATGTGTTTGGACTAGGCCGAAATGAGTCAGAACTCACCCCCGTAACAAAAGAACGGGAAGTTCCAGTCACAAGGACAGTCCTCCCACTTTCCAGAGTCATCAAAGTTTGCTATGGTGCATTTCTCTTCGTCGTTGTTCGGCTCCCCTGATCTCCAGTAAGTGAACGCGGGCCTGGTTCCGTCCACCCAGGCCAAGGAGTTTTTGTTCAGCCCGATCCAGGCGTAGTGACCCGGCGGCATCACCTGCTTTATCTTCTTGTTCTCTGACAGGTCTCTGGCGATGGCCAGGTCTGTGTAATGCTGCCTGCAGTTGGCCAGAGCGTCGGCCCAGGAGAATAACTGCTCAACGAGGACAAACGTTACGTCCGCTCCTGAAACGAGAACCCAGAGAAAAATGAATCCGTCTCAGAGGCAGGATGTGGAAATCTGAAGCTGGTAGCAGATCTTCAGCAGGCGGGGAAGAAGAAGAAGAAGTCCAGAACACAGAGAGTTCGGCGGACATGTTGGATCCTCACCGCTCACGTTGGCGCACACAGACTTTTCGTTGTTTCCACAGGGACAGTCGTTCCACAGCCCGTCGTCGTAGATCCGCACGCAGTCTTCAGGGCGATGCTTGTTGTCAGGTTGTCCTTGCTGCCAGTTTCTGAAGTTGGAGTCTCCCGGATTCTGAAACACGTTCGGGTCGGACAGCGACCAGTTCCAGCTGTTCGGGTCGTCCAACAGTCCGATCCAGGCGCGCTGCAGAGAACCAGACCCTCAGGTTGAGAAACCTGAGAAACAAACATCCTCCAAAGATACTTTATGATAATAAACTATAAAACAGCAACTTTTTACAGAACCGAGACAGGAAGAGATTCAGGCCTTTACCTAATACTGACGGATTTTTACTTCTGTAATGAATAATTTATGTTTCAGAGATAAAAATAACAAGTGTACGAACATTACATGTAGCTTATCCTCTGGTGATTTAAGCTTTATTGTGTCAGCGCCAAACTGGGCAAACTGAAGGAATCAACATGTTTGTTTTCTAAAAATTATTTTATGCACAATTTAGACAAACATATTTCCTAAAAATTATTTTGTAGAAACATCAAGCAGACCTCATGAGGATCTCAGAGAACTGGTTCTTTCTGCACCGAGTCGTTTTGTGAAGCAGGTTTTGTTTTTTCCTCTTTTCCTCTGTCAGGTTTGTTTCTGAGCAGCGCTGCTCTTCCAGGATGCAAAACTGCTTTTTCTCACTTAATTTACTGAAACAAACTTTATTCTAAACATCTTTGAAATTCTGGATACTTTCTAACAAAGTATTACCAGACAAATTCTGAAAAAAATCCACAAACTTCTAATCTTACGAACAAAATATTAGAAATAAAATCATGCTGGAGGTTTTTCTTCTTCCTTCTTTAAAACAATTTTTATCACATATTTTTAACTTGTCTTAATTTAATATTCAGCTGACGCAGGTTTACTCTCCTCTAGTATTCATGTGGATTTTATTTCCATCACAGTTGTAAAGTCAAACAATTTATTTCTCAAAATTAAATACTAAGTTATTTAAACATGAGTCACTGCTGTCTATCATCAAACCAAACGGTGAAAGTTTTACACAGAAATCCAGAAACGTGTCTGTTTACATGCTTCGCGTCTCCGTTGACCATCTGCTTCACGTCGGTCATGTCGACCAGCGTCGTCACGTTCTCCAAGCTGCTTAAGGTCACCAGGTCAGCGAACCGCTCTCTGCAGAAACTCTGAGCCGCCGTCCAGTTCTTCAACTCGTTGACGTAGAAAAACTGATGTTCGGCGAGAGACGAGGCGGCAAACAGCACTGCAGCACAAACGCATCAAACATTTAGCTTTTGAAGCATTTCATTTTTAAAGTTTTTAAATATAGAAAATAATAGAAATATCACTTATTGTCCCTCTGTGACATGACTGAGCTGCAGGCAGGTGGAAACAGATTCACATAAATGTAAAATAGTAAAAAAAGGGACTGTAGAGGATGACCTAAAGCAGAAATAAACCTATATGGTTAATAAAATAGTGTAACAGAGCAGGATTATTAAAAATATATAATAAGTTTTGCTTGAGAAATGCAGTTTTAATCAGGTTTAACTCTGTGAGTTAAAAAAGCAAATGATCTTGGTTTATAAATGGAAAAAAATCCGATAGTCATGTGAAAACAGCAACAAGCTACAATATTCTGTGGGATAAACAACTAAAAATATGTTATATAAACAGACTTTACATATTTGCTAAACTTGGTAGAAACAAATAAACAGTAAAAAAAACTGTAATATTCCATGTAATGTTCTGTTAATAAAAACAATTGTTTTAGAATAAAAGTAATTAAGTTTACTAAAAGAAAACTTTCAGGTGTGCAGAATTAATTCACATCAAAAATGATCAGATAAAAGCTCCCAACTTTAGACCGATACTTTATGGATCAATTGCAAGATAATTAAATTCCCATTGAATATTATCCCAGGAGAAAAACAGCATGAAATGAACCGTCTGAAGCCTGAACTTGCCTGCAGCAGCTGTGAGGTACTGAAGAACCTCCATCCTGGTTCCTTTGGGTCAGAACTGCAGATCTGCAGCTGCTGGATTTACTTATCACACCGGCGTCACGCACATGCAAACGGAGAACGCAGACCGTTTGCATCCTCCGCCCGATGCAGGCAGAGAAATCTGAACGATTCAAAGTGCTTCATTTCCATGATTCTCAAGTGACTCGCTTGCCTGAAGGTTTTAATTATCCGTCATAAATCAAACCTTCACTGAAAAGCTGACAAATTTCACTTCAACAAGCTTAACATTCACAATTTCCACCTAAAAGCTTTTAGATATTATTTATTTTATTGATTCTGTTTCAAGTTTGTTTTTCTATTAATATTATTTTCTAGTTTGGTGGTTTAGACATTTCATCATAAAATCAGAGGTTTTTAAATAGGAAAAATCATTTTAAATTATGGCTTGGATTTAACAAAGAGACACTGAAAAAAGCTACAATTGCAGCAACATGATCTATGAAATCATTTGGATCAGTAAATCACAAAGACCAGTTTACTGTTTGTGGTGTTTTATTGAAGCCTTCAGGTAAACAGAGCCACTTTCTACATCACAACATTAAACTAATTACATCACACATAAATGTACTATTTGTCTACTTTAAGAGGATTATGGGTAGAAAACAGCAAACCATGTTAATAAGGAACAAAATATTTTCAGCAGACACGTCTTCCTGTCTGCTGACGTCACTCATCCTGGTGGAAGATCCTCCCGTCTGATTGGCCGATCCATCTCAGCTGAATGTCTCCTTCCTCTCTGCTGTCCTTCTTCAGCTTCTGTTCAAACTGACAAGCAAAAAGAAAAAATATTTTATGAACGTTGGACAAAATCTTTCCTGGAAGCTGTTTTACATTTAGGCCTCGGAGCAAACAGGCAGCAACTGGCAAAACGCGCTGCAAACACACACACACACACACACACACGCACACACACACACACACGCGCACACAGAAATAGAAAACTAATACGAAAGAAAAACACAGCAAACAAAGAAAGCAGGAGGGACGACATCTCAAATACCACATATGATGCAAACAGAATTACTCCAGACCACTAGGGGGAGTCGCTCACCAAATCCAAACCAGCATGTCTTGATTTAACAACGTCCAGAAGAAAGTTGGAGGAAGAAAAAAAAGCTGCATTTTACTTCCTATGTTTTCCAAACATACAGTATAATTACAGAATAGCAGCATATTTACATGGGTACCTACTCTAGACTCCCCCTAGTGGACTGGAGCACTTTTATTTTGAAAGTCTACTTCTGGTTATTGGTCAGTGAACATTTTACACCGTCTAAATATTTAGCTTTGAGCAGAATGTTTAGTTTGAAGCTGAATATGTAGTTTATAAGATAAACATGTAATTTTAATCTACATATTAAGGTGCTAATTAAATATTTAGTTTGAAACTGTGACGTTTCTAAATGAATGAATGATGCAGTGAAAGCAGGACTTTTCCCTCCTAAATAAGTAAATTATTACTTTTTGACAGCTGTCCTTCTGAAACCAGGTCAGTGTGAATGAACTGCACCTGCTGCAGCAGGTCTGCCAGCACAGCCGGGTCGCTCAGGTCCAGAGAGGAAGACTTCACCAGCTTCACCTTCACCACCTGCGTCGAACCTGGAACTTTAAGAAAACAACAGCCGTCACACACAACGTATTTATGGCGTTTTAAATTTTACAGTTAAAAAATGAAAATAAATCATTTTTGGCTTGTCATAGTCATTGATTTGGGTTTCATCGGTTCTTCGACAGTCACGGAGCGCCACAGGGATGACGACAGCTTTTGTATTATTTTTACTTTGATTTGTTACTTTCCGTCAGAGCAGACATTCACGTTCAGCTTCTTCAAATCAGACAGGAGGAAATGATCTCATTTCTGCAGATGAACCTCCATCCTTCTACGTCTACGTTGCCATGGCTACTGAACAAGAGACTCAAACTCAGAGTGAACAGTTCATTAGGGAACCAGTCCTGGTTAAAGGCTCAACCACCTCAGCGCTTGTTCTGCTTCATTTAATACAACAGAGTACAAATCTTTACATGATTCCTGGCATTAAATAAAACATTAACCTTTTTTGAGTCATTTCGTGTCATAAATAATCACATGTAGTTCCACAGGGATGGCGACTCAGACCACTTTTCTTTTCCTCTTCTGTCCAACTTTTACATTTTTACACCACATCACATTAGAGAGATAAAACTCGGCTATGAGCTCTGAACCCAACTGAGAATTATAATTTATTTTATCAATTAGATTAATCTGTGTAAATACAGGTTAACATTTATTGGTTACTTCAGTATGGATGTTTCCGGCTGTAGAAATGCTCCAGATCTGCTTGAGATGTAAAAAACTGATGTTTTAAAAAGTCCCACTGGGAACAAATGTTGCCTCAAAGCACTGGGCAAGACAGAGATTTAGTTTATTAGCAGAAATACATATTTAATGTCAGTTTAATGGAATCTGCTGCTGTAAGTCAACAGGCGACCGCAGCAAAGACGACGGTTGAAAAAAAGTTTCTTCCAGTAATTTAACTAAAACCTTTTGAATGTCGTAAACAGAAACGACGTGAACAGAAGGAGAAATGTTTTTTCTGACCATCGTAGCAGAAGCAGGGCTGGAGTCTGGAGCAGAGCTGGTCCTCCCACACGCCGCCGTCACTCAGCGCCGACACCGCACAGTTCTCCTGCGCTCCGTTCGGTTCTGTCGGCCTCCAGTGGCTGAACGTGACGTTGCTGCCATCCGACCACGACCAGGAGTTTCTGAACAGACCGATCCAGGCTGCATTCTGTCCAGCGGATTGGACTAGGACCTGTATCTGCTCCCACTCCGATGAGCTCCTCACGCTGGCCAGGTCAGTGTGATGCTGCCTGCAGAAGCTCTGGGCTGCAGCCCAGCTCATCGTCTGGTTGATGAAGACAAATGAAGTATCGTGTCCTGAAAATATTCACAAGATAAAGTCAGTTTCACCCTCCATGGTGTGTGAAAGCTTTGACCTTTGACCTCCAAACAATCTGCTCTTTGCTTGTTTCAGCTTTGAAGTTAGAAAATGATTGAGTTTTGGGTTCAGCCGTGAGGATCTTGTATCAATAAGTCGTTTCTCCAGTTATTGGTGGTTACCATAGCAACCGGCAGCTCCTCCCCCTTTGCTATTAGGATCAGCTGTTTTCTTTACAGTTGTTATGTTTTAACACATATTTCAGACACTTTTAATCATATAGAGTGTTTCATGGGTGATTTTGTTTTTATGTTTGTAACTGTTGTCATGTTGAATGTTTGTTTAGTTTTACAGATGCTGGCTGCTCATTGGGAGTTATTGTTTTGTAGTTTGTTCAGTTATTTACTGTTTTGTTTAATGTATAAGAAGCAGAAGCTGCTGCACCAGGATACATGTTATCTCTCCTACCATCTCTTGGTTACCGTTAATTATGCCAAATACAAATATTTAACTGGAGCTAAATATAAATATTAATTTAAGCCAAACATTTAGCTAGTTTATCGAGGATGCAGACAGATAAGAATCTTCATCCTCACCTTGTACGTCGCAGCAGATTGGTGTGAGGAGTCTTGCACATTGCAAATCAGCGAAGTCTCCAGTGTGGATCATGGCTCCGCAGGCCTCTCTTCCCATGTAGTTGTTTGGTTCCCCAGGCTTCCACTTAAAGAACGCAGCTTCTCCGTCCCTGTGGAAGTTGGGGTCAGTAATGGACCACCTCCAGCTGTTCGGGTCGTCAGACAAACCGATCCAGGCTCGCTGCAAGCAACACAAAACTCACCTGAACTCATAAAGTATGTAAAGTTATTATATAAATGCACAAACAGTTCTGCCTTTGCAGAAAAATGCTGTTTTTATTTTTTACTGTCTTGTTGCACCAGTGCAGGTTTTAGACCAGATTCTAACAAACGTACATGTTTGAAATCTGAGCTGTCGTAGACCATGGCGTCCAGATCCACCATGCTGGTCAGGAGCGTCACGTCCTCCATGCTGCTGACCGTCACCAGGTCCATGAAGTTCTGTCTGCAGAAACTCTGAGCGTCCGGCCAGGTCATCAACTCATTGACAAAAACAAAGAGGCGTGGAGGGCGAGCCGAGGCGACACACAGCACTGCAGCAAAACACACCAACAGCTGAAACATGCAGAGGCGGAGCCGCTTCCTGACACTAACACAGGAAACTTCCTGTTTTAGGGCAACAAGGATAGTCAAGACAGAGCAGCTCTACTTCAACATATTTTACTCCAGTAAAAGTAAAAAGTAGCCGCCCAAGGAATTACTCAAGCAAGTGGAAAAAGTTTACTCAACTGATCAAATGATCAATTAGTTAATATTTAAAAATTACATCATCAGATGGACCAAAATAAAACGTTAAGTGGAAGTTTTGGTATGTCATAAACAAAAATGACAATCATTTATAAAATTAACAAACAATAAAATCAGACAAAAGAACATTTTTCCAAATCAGTTTTTTTTTTCTACAACAAACTTTAACAAAAACTGCAGGTGTGTGTGTGTGTGTGTGTGTGTGTGTGTGTGTGTGTGTGTGTGTGTGTGTGTGTGTGTGTGTGTGTGT